ACTGTCTATGTGACTGAATGGTCTATTTTCAGGCAAATTTCCATCTAAAACAGTATCACTCCTTCCCAACACAGTTGGTTGCTTCTTAATCTTTCTTTTTGCTATTCATTTTCACCCATCCACTATTTCTGGTGGACTCCTGGGAGCAAAACTGTATGGGAAAATGGGAGACTCAGATAGCAAAGAAGTAGGAGGTGAATGCCAGAAATCAGCAGGGCTGGCTCTCTGTATAGGAGTTGGCTGAATGTGGCATCTGATCTGGGATGGAAGAGGAGGGAAATATCACACATTTTGTTTGTCTCAAAATATCCTATCAACCTCAGTCCTGTAATTAGTGAGTTATTCCCACCAGGTAATTCATTTCACCAGAGGAAAGGCGTTTTCTCCAGAAGACCACATTGAAATGAAGCAGGCCTAATGGGGAGGCCAGGTGGAATAGCAGCTGAGCCTGTAGTCTGTGGGGCTGTATTCCCTGTGTTTGACACCCTGCCCTGCCACTTTCCAGATGAGCCGCCTTGGACGGTTTACTGAAATTTCTCTGCCTCAGAGTCTTCATCTAAAAACTGGATATAGCCAGGCATGGTGGCTCACGCCTGTAATCCCAGCACTTGGGGAGGCCGAGACAGGCGGATCACGAGGTCAAGAGATCAAGACCATCCTGGCCAACATGGTGAAACCCTGTTTCTACTAAAAAAAAAAAAAAAAAAAAAAAATTAGCTGGGCGTGGTGTCATGCGCCTGTAGTCCCAGCTACTTGGGAGGCTGAGGCAGTAGGATCACTTGAACCCGGGAGGCAGAAGTCGCAGTAAGGCAAGATCGCACCATTGCACTCCAGCCTGGCGAGAGAGTGAGACACCATCTCAAAAAATAAATAAATAAATAAATAAATAAATAAATAAATAAATAAATTGGATATAAAACTAGTTTTACATGATAGGATTTTCAGGATGATTAAATAAGATGAGGAATACAAAGTTCCTGAAGAGTCAGCGCTCTAATCTTACGGTGCAATAGCATGAATGCCCAATTCAGTGGTCCTTAACCACTGAATCACCAGGAGAGTTCATTAAAATACAAGGACCCAGGCTTATTTTCCCAAGAGGGGGAAGGGTTACAAACAAGCAACATTTGTCCCTTGCCTTGGCTGGCATTGGTGTACCAGCATATTAAGTCCTTAGCCATGTGGTGCCAAAAATACCAAGAGGCCAAGTGATGTCGTGGGAAAGGCACGGGCTTCAGTGTCGGACAGGTCTGTGATGAAACTCGGCCCAGTCCCTTGCTGGTTATATGACTTTGGGGAAGGCTCTTCATCTCTCTGAGCCTCAGTTTCCCTATTTGTGCGATGGAAATCATTATAGCTGTCTTTTTGCTTGTGGCAAGGATTAATTTAGGGCCAGCAGTGCCCAGTGGTCAGCCAGTGTGATCAGGATGGAGCCCTCACTTCGTTTGACACCAAGGTCTCTCACAACATGGGAAATAGAGCTTCTGGGAGCATCCTTGGGAGCAACTGGGCTGTCCAGCTGGCACTGAATGGAACTGAATTTTCTACAGGAGGAACAGCTGCCAGGTCATTGGTAAGCTGGTCACTGAGGATTGATGCCAGCTCAGAGATATCAGTAGTGGAGAAGCTGGTTGGAACAGAGACAGGCCATAGGGAGGGGTCCATTGGCTTCTTGTTTACTACAGAATAAACTCCTTCTATTTCTGGGAGTTAGAACCCTTCATATTAACCTAAGGAGTATTCCCTTCATGCCAGTAGAATAAAAATCTCCCGCGTAGGCTGCACCCTTTTGAAGAGGTGGATGAGTCCTATGAGTGGTGGGCCTTGTGGTGGTGGTGGTGCTGGTGGTCCCTCCCACCCCATCAGGAGGAAGAATCACTTTGGAATCTCCCTCCATTCAATCTTTGATTTACAGTCTTGTAATGGAACAATTTAATTCTCAGCATTAAATGCACAGATTCACACACATTATACAAAACCAATAATTCACAGGCAAGCCAGAAGAGATCTGAGACTTAGTCTACAGAGATGACAGACACAGTGATTCTCTCCTCCCTGTTTCCCATATTCCACCCCCAAATACCCTGCAGTAGTCCCCCATCTGTCCAGGTGAGGAGGAAGCCCTCAAAGAGGAAATCTCCCCTGCTGCTTCTAGCTCAGGATATGGTCAAACTACAAGATCTTTTTGGCCATAAGACATTCTAACAGCGGATCCTGGGAATGGGGACAGAGGAGGGAGGCTTGGAAATCAAGTTCAGCTTTCTTTGCAGTTGTTTCCTTGTTATTTACATTATGAGTTTCCTTGTTTCTGAGCTGTTGTTGACATTTTGCCTTTATTCTGGCCATTGCTGCCTCCTACCCTGTCTCTGGGAGCACACGCCTCACCTCTGTCTCTCAGGTGTGCTAGAATGTAGTTCCTGGCCTGACTTATTCCTCTTTATATCCCCAGTACTTAGCACAGTTCCTGGCATCTCCTCCATGATTGTTGACTGTGTGGAGTGGCTTATGATTGCACTGGCAGTGAGACTCACTTAAAGAAGAGTGGCTTTGTTATGGTTTCTCTAAAAGGTGGCTCTGTCCATATCTGGCTTGACTGAACAGAGGGCAAATGGGATGGTGGGAGGAGAGGAATCAACAGTTTCCCAGTTTTTCCCCCAGGCAATAGGAAACACCTGGGATTTGGAACCTGAAACCTGCATTCAGGAGACCAAACTTCTACTAACTGGACGAACTTTGGGCCATCTACTCAAGCCCACTGGACTTCAGTTTATTTATTTGTTTCCTGGAAAATATAGTAAGATTTTTCCCTTCCTGCCTTATAATCAAAGAAGCTGTGACAATTTAAGAAATAAGGTTTTGGAAAATGCTCTGTAAAGAAATATGTGAATGACAGCTATTATTTTTCATAAAGTGATTTCTTTGGTGAGTTCATAGTATTGTAGCTCAAATGTATTAGGCACCTACTATGTCCTAGGCACAGTGTGAGGTGTTTCAAGAAGTACATAATCAAGATGTAAAAGGAGTGGTGTGAAGACAGCTCAAAGAAGGGAGCCATTCATAGACAGCACCCACCCCAGGGGTGTCATAGGTGCTTCTGTTGCAAAAACAGCCCAAAGTCTTTCATCTTTTTAAGTCTGAAGTAACATGGAAGGCATCCTCATTTGGCTTCAGGACACCCCCAGGCCAGTCTGTGAACGGCTCCCTTCTTTGGGCTGTCCTCATTTGCACCCAATGGTACTGGCCACCAACTCTGGGAGACAATTAACTAAATACGATCTCTGTCGAAGCAACATATGGATCATGGAGACTGTGTGATTTCAATTATCAGTGTCTATTCTATTAATAATAGGTGTTGTAGGAGGAAAAAACTAATAGTGTCAGCTAAAACTTGCTTTTACAAATAGGCCAGGCACTATTCCAAGTGATTTATATATATATATTCACTCATTTAATCTTTACAAGAATCCCACCAGGTAGGATCTGGTGTTATCCTCACTTTACAGATGGGGGCACTGGGACACAGAATGTTTAAGTAACTTCGCTCTGTCTCCCAGGATGGAGTGCAGTGGGGCGATCTCGGCTCACTGCAACCTCCACCTCCTTGGTTCAGGTGATCCACCCGCCTCACCTCCCTAGTAGCTGAGACTACAGGTGTGTGCTATCACGCCCAGATAATTTTTTTTTTTTGTATTTTGTATTTTTAGTAGAGATGGGGTTTCACCATGTTGGCCAGGCTGGTCTTGAACTCCTGACCTCAGCTGATCCGCCTGCCTTGGCCTCTCAAAGTGCTGGGATTACAGGCATGAGCCACAGTGTCTGGCCTATACTTCTTATTTAAGAAAAACTTGGCCGGGCACAGTGGCCCACACCTGTAATCCCAGCACTTTGGCAGGTGGATCATGAGGTCAAGAGTTCAACACCAGGTTGGCCAACATGGTGAAACCCCATCTCTACTAAAAATACAAAAATTAGCCGGGCGTGGTGGCGTGCACCTGTATTCCCAGCTGCTCAGGAGGCTGAGGCGGAAGAATCACTTGAACCCAGGAGGCGAAGGTTGCAGTGAGCCAAGATCATGCCACTGCACATACTCTAGCCTGGGCGACAGAGTGAGACTCTTATCAGAAAAAAAAGAGCAACTTTAAAAAAAAAAAAAGATAAAATCATGACTCTCCTACAGATATAAAATGAGCACATTGCTATGGTTTGAATATGTCCCCTAAAAAGCGTATGCTGGAAACTGGATTCCCAATGCAACAGTGTTGGGAGGTGCAGCCTGATGGCAGGCGTTTAGGTCATGAGGGCTCCACCGTCAGGAATGGATTAATGCTGACTGTGAAAAGACTCGCTGCTGCCAGTCTGAGCGCTCACTCTCTTCATGTGATGTCTTCTACTGTGTTATGATGCAGCAAGGAGGCCCTCACCAGATGCAGCCCCTGAACCTTGGGCTTTCCAGCTTTTAGAACTGTGAGCCAAATACATTTCTGTTCATTACAAATTACTCAGCCTGTGGTATTCTGTTATAGCAGCATAAAATGGACTAAGACACACAGGTTAGGGCTTCTCTTTTCTTTTCTTTTTTCTTTTTTTTTTTGAGACTGAGTATTGCTCTGTCGCCCAGGCTGGAATGCAGTGGTGCGATCTCGGCTCACTGCAACCTCTGATTCCTGGGTTCGAGTGATTATTCCGCCTCAGCCTCCCAAGTAGCTGGGACTACAGGCACATGCCACCATGCCCAGCTAATTTTTGTATTTTTAGTAGAGATGGAGTTTCATCATGTTGGCCAGGCTGATCTCAAACTCCTGACCTCGTGATCTGCCCACCTCAGCCTCCCAAAGTGCTGGGATTACAGGTGTGAGCCACCGCACCCAGCCACATGTTAGGGATTTTTAAAACTCAGAACTGGATTGAATTTGGGCTTTGCTGCTTACTAGCTGTATTAAGATAAATGCATTTTTTAACCTATAAAATGGAGATACATACCACACGGACAGCAGTGAAAATTAAATGAACCAACCTATGGCTATGAGGAAGATTTCTGATGCAGGTAACAGAGCCCCCAACTTAGTATGATATAACACAATAAGAAATTATTATATGATATGCTAGGAAGTCCAGAGATATCTCAGGCTCCAGGGGAGAATACTCAGTTCCACCCTCCTGTAGGTGTTACATTCATCCTTAGGTTGATAACAAGATAACTGTAGGAATTTCAGGAATTTCATCTAGAAAAAAAAAAACAGAGAGAAAGGTCATCTCTTTCTGTGTCTCTTTCACAGAACCTTTCTTTTCCAGAACTTTCCTTCATGCTTCATTGGGCAGTGTTCTGTTATTTGACCTTTCCTCAACAAGTCCTTGGCAAGGGAGATGGAAATATCATGACTGGCTTAGACTAATCAATACTTACTTTTGGAATTGGAATGGGGTCACCTTTCTCTGGGTTTCAAAAGGAAATAATAGATGCACAAAATTCGGGTTCTGTTAGCTAAAAAGGAAGAATGGAGAAGTAGAAGTTGAGTAGGCCACCCATAGGTTCCACTATCATCTGCGAATGCCCAGTATAAAGATTAATACCCAGCAGGTATATGTCCAAGAAATGTTAGTCATCACTTTTCTCAGTGACACCTGAATGTGATGTAAAAGACTGATTTGAAGGCACATCTTCATGCAGTTCTTCACTCAGAAATCAAGTCATCTGACAGGTGCCGATGAAAATTTTTTCAGAAACTTCAGATGGACAGCTTCCAGAAGTAGATGCTGGCTCTTCACAACTTGCCGCACATTGCACAGCACATTACGTTGCCAAGCAGGTATCTTGGGATTGGTGGGTTGCTCCTTCTGCTTAGAGGCCCCAAGCATCTGGTGTTTCTCTCTTCTGTGTTGGCGGATCCTCTGAACTTTGATACAGTCTTCATTCCACAATTGGCAAAGAAAATCTCCTCTGGGATACAGCCCACACACGCCTCACGCCTGGGGAGGCATGACTCCCGGCCCTGTCCTTTCGCTTCAAATGAAATATAATAAATATGAAAGGAAAACAAAAGACAGGCAGACAAAAAGCAGACTCAGAAAGACAGAATGAGAAAACACATATATGCTCACAAAAGCAAGGGAGAACAAAAGGAGGCAAAGGGCAGACATCTCTCTGTCCACTGGAGCTCTGAGGAATCAGAATTTCTAAAGCTATTTTTTTTTTCTTTTTGAGACAGAGTCTCGCTCTTGTCCCCCATGCTGGAGTTCAATAGCATGATCTCGGCTCACTGCAACCTCCGTCTCCAGGGTTCAAACCATTCTCCTGCCTCAGCCTCCCAAGTAGCTGGGATTACAGGCGCCCGCCACCACGCCTGGCTAATTTTTTTGTATTTTTAGTAGAGAGGGGTTTCACCACGTTGGCCACGCTGGTCTCGAATTCCTGACCTCAGGTGATCCGCCCACCTCGGCTTCCCAAAGTGCTGGGATTATAGGCTTGAGCCACGATGCCTGGCCTCTAAAGCTATTTTTTAAAATGTAAAGATTTATGACTTATCCTCTCCTTCCTGATAGCCCTCTTTTCAGCAGCTGCTTTATTCGTCTTGAGGCAGGAGGATGAACAAAGGATCTTTCCTCCTCAAGAAACACCCCCTCCTTCCTCAGTTCCACACCCCTGCCCTAGGAATCCATGACTCCAGGAAATATTTTCAGATAAAACAATTCCAGTTACTGGAAAATTGCAAGGCTTTCCTCTGTGGGTTTACAACAGCCTGGCCTCTGACCCTGGCCTCTGACTTAGTAAAAGAGATTTACTAAGTGATAGTAACACCTTTTATGTACTCAACGTGAGGCAAGTCACTTTATCCGTCTCAATCCAGGCTCCTCAGGCTCATAATGGTGAAGGTTGGAATGGATTCGTGGTTTTGAGTGTATGTACGTTTGTATGTATGTACATGCATATTAAACTATGCACATTGTATGTAGTTTATGTATATGACCCTCCTTCACAGGGGCTCTGTCCCCTTGGCAATGACTTAGCTCCTTCCCTGCCGCACAGGGGCACCTGACTCAGTACAGTCTCTTCTTCCTACAAGGCATCTACCTTAAAGGACTTGCCTCTCCTCCTTTTACGTGGGAGCTATTACATGTTAAACAACAGAACATTATTTCAAATGCTGACATCTTATGTGGCACTTCAACATAAAAACAGGTCAAGGCAAGGGCTTTAACTGAAGGAAGGTGAGCATGGAAGGAGTGGAGGAAGAGCAGGAGGAATCTTTGAAATCCTTATCTTTGGCCACAGCAGCCTCTTGAAGTATGGCCCCAGGTGGGGCTTCCCAGGGCAATTTGATAACCATTGACCTAGCTGCTCTCTAAGGCATTGTAGATCTAAAACACAAAGTCTTGCTCTGCCTTTATCAAAAAGAAAGTCTGATTCCTCCCTTGTGGATTCACACAGTAACACAACATACCTTGAAGTGGAGAAGGATGACAAGAACCAGGAGGGCCAAAATTCCCTTCCTAACCCCGTTTCTATCTTCTTTGGAATTCCGAAAAAAAATAAATAAATAAATAAGAAAAAAAGAGAGTGAATGGTACGGGGAATAATACAACTCATACCACCTGTAAGGTTAGCCAACACAAAGTACAAGAGAGAGACCCGAGGTTAGGCGAGGAAGTTTATTAACCTGCCGGCTGCCCGCTTAACAGTCAGAAAGGAGGCAGCCCCAAACTTACAGAATGAGGGGTTTCTATTGGGGAGGGGAGTTTGACGGAGTTCTTTGGTGTGGCCACATCCCCGGGTTGTTTGCTGGTTAATTTTGCCACATATCACCTTGTGACGTTTATTACAGGAGGGTGTAGTTAGTTTGTTTATGCTTCCCAGGACGCGGCAAAAAGTGAAGTCTGCGGGCTTCACCAAGGCACCTAGATAAGGGCTTAGAAATGTAAAGCGGCTTGTGGGAAGGAGAAGAGTTGCAGAGCATTACAGGGAGGGGTGGGCAGCTTGGTGAGGTTTGAGGAGGAGTGTCGGCAGTACCAAGAAACTTTTGGGGGCAGTTTTTTTCTAACACCACCCATAATCATAAAATGACAATTTGACATATTTGTCTCAGATAACTTTTTTATTTACTCTTATTATTATTTTTTGAGACAGGGTGTTGCTTTGTTGCCCAGGCTTGAGTGCCATGGCGTGATCTCGGCTCACTGCAACCTCTGCCTCCTGGGTACAAGTGATTCTCCTGCCTCAGCCTCCTGAGCAGCTGGGATTACAGGCCCACACCACTACACCTGGCTAAGTTTTGTTTGTTTGTTTGTTTGTTTGAGACGGAGTTTTGCTCTTGTTGTCCAGTGTGGAGTACAATGGCACGATCTCGGCTCACCACAACCTCCACCTCCCGGGTTCAAGCGATTCTCCTGCCTCGGCCTCCCGAGTGGCTGGGATTACAGGTATGCACTGCCACACCCGGCTGATTTTGTATTTTTAGCAGAGGCGGGGTTTCACGACGTTGGTCAGGCTGGTCTCGAACTCCCAACCTCAGGTGATCCACCTGCCTCGACCTCCCAAAGTGTTGGGATTACAGGTGTGAGCTACTGCACCCAGCCGATGAGTTTTTTTAAAGTAAAGAAAACCTGGCAGATGAAGTTCTCTTAGTTCATCACTCTAATCCTATTTTCCTCCTTCTCTCTTCAGTTAAACGCTATCATGACTGACTAATGCCTGCCCCCAACTCCCCCGCCCAAAAGATGTTCACTTACCAACCCCTGGAACCTGTAAATATGTTGCCATGGCAAAAGAGATTTTTGCAGATGTAATTAAATTAAGGATTTTGAGATGGGGGAGATTATTCTGGGTTAGCCAGCCGGACCCAATATAATCACAAGGGCATTTATTGGAGGGAGGCAGGAAGTCAGAGGCAGAGAAGGAGATGTCATGGTGTTGCATGAGGTTGGTGATGATGAAGCAGAGGCTGGTAAGATGCATCCAAAAGCGAAGAAATGCAGGCAGCCTCCAGAATTTGGAAAAGGCAAGTATTCTCCTTTAGATCCTCCAGAAGGAACACAGCCCTGCTTACCAACTGTAGACTTCCATGTTGTTTCGCACTATTACATTTGTGCTGATTTGTTACAGCAGCAATAGGAAACTAATACAGTGAGTTGGGTGAGTTTCCATTTGCTCCATGCATGTTTTTTTTTTTTTTTGGAGACGGAGTCTCGCTCTGTTGCCTAGGCTGGAGAGCGTTGGCACTGCAAGCCCCCCTTCCTGTGTTCATGCCATTCTCCTGCCTTAGCCTCCTGAGTAGCTGAGACTACAGGCGACTGCCACCACGCCCGGCTAATTTTGTTTTTGTATTTTTAGTAGAGACGGGGTTTCACCATGTTAGCCAGGATAGTCTCGATCTCCTGACCTCGTGATCCACCTACCTCGGCCCCCCAAAATGCTGGGATTACAGATGTGAGCCACCATGCCTGGCCTCCATGTTTTTTACTTGGACTAGTTGGATAGACACAGAAATACAGAAGATAATTTTGTTTTATGTATTTTCTACAGTTACCTGATGTTTTTGAGAATATCCATTTGACATGTAAATATCTAATTCATCCAATTTAATTGCAATATAGTATTTTGTCATATGACTATACCACAGTTTGTTTATGTAAGTCTCTAAAATGGGCTGGGCATGGTAGCTCATGTCTGTAATCCCAGCACTTTGGGAGGCCGAGGCAGGCGGATCATGAGGTCAGGAGATCAAGACCATCCTGGCTAATACGGTGAAACCCTCTCTCTACTAAAAAATACAAAAAATTAGCCAGGCGTGGTGGTGGATGCCTGTAGTCCCAGCTACTCGGGAGGCTGAGGTAGGAGAATGGCGTGAACCCAGGAGGCAGAGTTTGCAGTGAGCCAAGATCACGCCACTGCACTCCAGCCTGGGTGACAGAGCGAGACTCCATCTGAAAAAAAAAAAAAAAAGCTGTCTTAGTCAGCTTGGGCTGCTATAACGAAAAATCATAAACTGGGTGGCTTAAACAACAATGTATTTCTCACAGTTCTGGAAGCTAGGAAGTGCATGATCAGGCACCAGCAGATTTGATGTCTGGTGAGGGATTTCTGGTTCATAGATGGTGCCTTCTAGCTGTGTCCTCACTTGGTAGAAGGGAGGAATGAACTCCCTTGGGCATATTTTACGGAGACACTAATCCCATTCATGAGGGCTCTACCCTCAGGACCTTATCTAATCCTAATTACCTCCCAAATATCATCTCCCACTATCGTCACATTAGGGGGTAGGATTTCAATACATGAATTTTGGGAAGCCTAGAGCATTCAGTTTATAACAATAACAAATGTTTATTCTACTTGATTCTGTGGCTAGTTGGGTGACTCTTCTGGTCTGAACTGGTTTGGTTGGGGCTGGATGGTCTAGAACGGCCTCGCTCATATGTCTGGCCTCAGTGGAATCCCAGGCTTGTGGGTATGGCTGGAGCTTCTTTCTGTGTAGTGCCTCTCGTCTTCAAGTAGTCCACAAGGGTTCCCACAAGCAAGAGCCTCTGTTTGCATGACATTTGCTATCATCACATTGGCCAAAGAAGGTTATATAGCCAAGCCCAGATTCAGCAGGTAGAAAAACAGACTCTACTGCTTTTTGAGAAGAGGGGCAAAATCACATTGCAAAGGAGCGTGCATGCAGAGACAAGATAAATTGGAGGGTATTACCGTAACAACCTAATGTAGCTGATAATAAGAATCCAGCTTCCAGCGTGCTTGGAAATCTCAACATTCATCTCAATTCAAAAAGTATGCTCATTTTCAACTATGGTCTCTGCATGCCAGTAAAACTTAACTTATTTTGGCATGCCAGGCTACTTCCCCCAGGAGCCTTTCCCATGCTGTTTGCTCTGCCTGGAATGCTCCTCCCCTCTCCGTGCCAGGCTAATTATTATATTTCCTTTAAGTCCCTTCCTAAAGTCACTTCCTTAGGGAGCCTTTCCTGACTCTTCAGACCAGGCCAGGTCTCCTGTTCTACACACTCAGGGCACTACAGATGCTGTGTTTACAGCACGTACCACCACTGTCATGAATTACTTTGTTGTACAATTATTTGTTTAATATCAGTCTCTCTCTCTTTCTCTCAACCTCAACCAAAGGAGCTCCAGGGCAGAGACTGGGTCTTTCTTGTTCACTGCTGAATTCCCAGCATCTAGTACAATGTCTAGCATGGAGTAAGCGCTCAGAATTGGAGGAATAAATGGATGAGCCTATGAATGAATGGCCTGCAATGTGCTCAGCATGGAATAGGCCTGCTTAAAAACCTGTTGGAGTAGCAGATATGGAAAACTGCAACCTGGTGGGGAGTGAAGACTGGGTCGTACAAAATGATTGAGAACAACTCAGAACCAAATAGAGGGTGAAATACCAGATGCTGGGCTGCAAATGCCATGGCGACTGGGAAGAAGGGATTAGGATAAATCAGGTGGTCACAGAAGGTCATAGCGGGTAGCACTTGAGTGAGGTCCAGAGGAGGAGCGGGATTTAGAGGCAAGGATTTAGAGGAGGAGCAGGATTTAGAGGCAGTTTGTAGGGAGGCTAATATATTAAGGTCATGAGTTTGCTCATCTGTAGTTCCTATTCTACTCAAATCCTCATAAGCTCTTTATCATAAGAGAAAGTAGGCAGGAGAGTAAGGGGAGATGGTTCAGTGGAGCCAGTCCTACTGTTACTGAAACAGCTCCAAAAGGTTATGTTTCAGAGGAAACTGCAAAGTTGTGTCATCCACACAAGCAAAAAACGGCTCATTTAGAGACCAGAGAGATTCCTCTGAGCCACTGAAACAGAACAACAGTAAACATCTGCTTCTACTCTTCTGGAAACATTGTGGTCTGGATGCTCTGTCTGTCACTCCTCTGCTCTTTTGCTTTTAACTATTATGAAAACATCCAAACCTACATGAAGAAAAGAGTTTAAGAAAGTCCATCACCAACTTCAAAAAACATCAATGCTTCATCACATTTGTTTCATGTCTCTCCGTCTCAACCCTAAGTTTTTTTCTCCTAAAGCATTTTAGAGCAAATCCTAGACACCATGTTATAGCACTCCTAAGTACTTCAATACAGACATCTAAAGGAAATAAGGGCATATCTTATGTAACCACAACACCTTTTCATACCCAACAAAATAGAGCATAATTTGTCAACATTCTTTAACACCTAGTTCATATTCAAAATTTCTTGATTGTCTAAAAAAATGTCTTTTTGCAGTTGATTTCTTTGACTCAGAATCTAAACAAGATCCTCACATTAATATCTTTTAAATCTCTTTTAATCTAGACTGTGGATGTTCTCTTTCAGCTGGGGCTTCCTTTACCAACAGCCTGCCTCAGCCCTCACAGTCCTTATCTCGCTCCTGGATTGGCAGGGAGCTGAAAGATCAGAAGCAGGAGGAATGAAGTCAACATGGGGAGAGCACGGGAGGGATGGAGTGAGTATCAGATGCCTAAGATGTTATGAAAAAAAATCCTAATCAGCTTCAGAAGAAACAGATTAGAATAAGAGACTCTTAAGAACTGGAGTTGACCTGCATGCTCTCCTAACACCTAAGAATGTCAAGAATTTACAGAGATTATAAGAGGCTGATTCCTGTGGGCAAGAGAGGAAAGGCAAGAGAAAGGAAATCAGGATGAATCTAATGGACAACACACAAGCATAGGCAGGACCTAATTTACAGGGCCCAGTACAAGATAAAAATCTCAGAGCCCTCGTTCAAAAATTATTGGGAATTTCAAGATGGCAATAGCAGTGCATCAAACCAAGCAGAAGGCCTTTCAAAGCACAGAGACCTGTGTGACTCCACAGGTTACATGCCTGCCTTTGTGAAACTGGCCCTGTGCAATGGGTGGCCGAGTCTAGGAGTCCCCAGGGAGTTGTCCTACAAGGTCATGCTCTACCAATGCATGTCTTGTTTGCATTTCAGAGACAAGCAAAGGCAGTGGGAATTGTTTCCATATCTCGGAGTCACCGCCAGCATCTCAGACTTGTCAGGATGTCTAGGGATGGTGAATGGCTTTTAGAAGGTCGTAGAGATCCACGCTGCAAAATTCAATTCTAAACCATGGATAGCGGTGGGTTTGGACCCTCTGGCCTTTATGCTTGTCTCT